TGTGAGTACACTGGGATCGGCAATGCACTGTTCAACACCCCAGACGACCATGCCCCGGTGTGGCTGTGTGGGGTGTTATGTGAGTACACTGGGATCGGCAATGCACTGTTCAACACCCCAGACGACCATGCCCAGGTGTGGCTGTGTGGGGTGTTATGTGAGTACACTGGGATCAGCAATGCACTGTTCAACACCCCGGACGACCTTGCCCAGGTGTGACTGTGTGGGGTGTTATGTGAGTACGCTGGGATGAGCAATGCACTGTTCAACACCCCAGACGACCCTGCCCAGGTGGCTGTGTGGGGTGTTATGTGAGTGCACTGGGATGAGCAATCCACTGTTCAACACCCCAGACGACCTTGCCCAGGTGTGGCTGTGTGGGGTGTTATGTGAGTACGCTGGGATGAGCAATGCACTGTTTAACACCCCGGACAACCATGCCCAGGTGTGGCTGTGTGGGGTGTTATGTGAGTACACTGGGATCAGCAATGCACTGTTTAACACCCCGGACAACCTTGCCCAGGTGTGGCTGTGTGGGGTGTTATGTGAGTACACTGGGATCAGCAATGCACTGTTTAACACCCCGGACAACCATGCCCAGGTGTGGCTGTGTGGGGTGTTATGTGAGTACACTGGGATCAGCAATGCACTGTTCAACACCCCGGACGACCATGCCCAGGTGTGGCTGTGTGGGGTGTTATGTGAGTACACTGGGATCAGCAATGCACTGTTCAACACCCCAGACGGCCATGCCCAGGTGTGGCTGTGTGGGGTGTTATGTGAGTACACTGGGATCAGCAATGCACTGTTCAACACCCCGGACGACCTTGCCCAGGTGTGGCTGTGTGGGGTGTTATGTGAGTACGCTGGGATCAGCAATGCACTGTTCAACACCCCGGACGACCATGCCCAGGTATGGCTGTGTGGGGTGTTATGTGAGTACACTGGGATCAGCAATGCACTGTTCAACACCCCGGACGACCATGCCCAGGTGTGGCTGTGTGGGGTGTTATGTGAGTACGCTGGGATCAGCAATGCACTGTTTAACACCCCAGGCGACCATGCCCAGGTGTGGCTGTGTGGGGTGTTATGTGAGTACACTGGGATCAGCAATGCACTGTTCAACACCCCAGACGGCCATGCCCAGGTGTGGCTGTGTGGGGTGTTATGTGAGTACACTGGGATCAGCAATGCACTGTTTAACACCCCGGACAACCATGCCCAGGTGGCTGTGTGGGGTGTTATGTGAGTACGCTGGGATCAGCAATGCACTGTTTAACACCCCGGACAACCATGCCCAGGTGTGGCTGTGTGGGGTGTTATGTGAGTACACTGGGATCAGCAATGCACTGTTCAACACCCCGGACGACCTTGCCCAGGTGTGGCTGTGTGGGGTGTTATGTGAGTACACTGGGATCAGCAATGCACTGTTCAACACCCCGGACGACCATGCCCAGGTGTGGCTGTGTGGGGTGTTATGTGAGTACACTGGGATCAGCAATGCACTGTTCAACACCCCGGACGACCATGCCCAGGTGTGGCTGTGTGGGGTGTTATGTGAGTACGCTGGGATCAGCAATGCACTGTTTAACACCCCAGACGACCATGCCCAGGTGTGGCTGTGTGGGGTGTTATGTGAGTACACTGGGATCAGCAATGCACTGTTCAACACCCCAGACGACCATGCCCAGGTGTGGCTGTGTGGGGTGTTATGTGAGTACACTGGGATCAGGAATGCACTGTTTAACACCCCGGACAACCATGCCCAGGTGTGGCTGTGTGGGGTGTTATGTGAGTACGCTGGGATCAGCAATGCACTGTTTAACACCCCGGACAACCATGCCCAGGTGTGGCTGTGTGGGGTGGTATGTGAGTACACTGGGATCAGCAATGCACTGTTCAACACCCCGGACGACCATGCCCAGGTGGCTGTGTGGGGTGTTATGTGAGTACGCTGGGATCAGCAATGCACTGTTTAACACCCCGGACGACCTTGCCCAGGTGTGGCTGTGTGGGGTGTTATGTGAGTACGCTGGGATCAGCAATGCACTGTTTAACACCCCGGACAACCATGCCCAGGTGTGGCTGTGTGGGGTGTTATGTGAGTACGCTGGGATCAGCAATGCACTGTTTAACACCCCAGACGACCATGCCCAGGTGTGGCTGTGTGGGGTGTTATGTGAGTACACTGGGATCAGCAATGCACTGTTCAACACCCCAGACGGCCATGCCCAGGTGTGGCTGTGTGGGGTGTTATGTGAGTACACTGGGATCAGCAATGCACTGTTTAACACCCCGGACAACCATGCCCAGGTGGCTGTGTGGGGTGTTATGTGAGTACGCTGGGATCAGCAATGCACTGTTTAACACCCCGGACAACCATGCCCAGGTGTGGCTGTGTGGGGTGTTATGTGAGTACACTGGGATCAGCAATGCACTGTTCAACACCCCGGACGACCTTGCCCAGGTGTGGCTGTGTGGGGTGTTATGTGAGTACACTGGGATCAGCAATGCACTGTTCAACACCCCGGACGACCATGCCCAGGTGTGGCTGTGTGGGGTGTTATGTGAGTACACTGGGATCAGCAATGCACTGTTCAACACCCCGGACGACCATGCCCAGGTGTGGCTGTGTGGGGTGTTATGTGAGTACGCTGGGATCAGCAATGCACTGTTTAACACCCCAGACGACCATGCCCAGGTGTGGCTGTGTGGGGTGTTATGTGAGTACACTGGGATCAGCAATGCACTGTTCAACACCCCAGACGACCATGCCCAGGTGTGGCTGTGTGGGGTGTTATGTGAGTACACTGGGATCAGGAATGCACTGTTTAACACCCCGGACAACCATGCCCAGGTGTGGCTGTGTGGGGTGTTATGTGAGTACGCTGGGATCAGCAATGCACTGTTTAACACCCCGGACAACCATGCCCAGGTGTGGCTGTGTGGGGTGTTATGTGAGTACACTGGGATCAGCAATGCACTGTTCAACACCCCAGACGACCTTGCCCAGGTGTGGCTGTGTGGGGTGTTATGTGAGTACACTGGGATCAGCAATGCACTGTTCAACACCCCGGACGACCATGCCCAGGTGTGGCTGTGTGGGGTGTTACGTGAGTACACTGGGATCAGCAATGCACTGTTCAACACCCCGGACGACCATGCCCAGGTGGCTGTGTGGGGTGTTATGTGAGTACGCTGGGATCAGCAATGCACTGTTTAACACCCCGGACGACCTTGCCCAGGTGTGGCTGTGTGGGGTGTTATGTGAGTACGCTGGGATCAGCAATGCACTGTTTAACACCCCGGACAACCATGCCCAGGTGTGGCTGTGTGGGGTGTTATGTGAGTACACTGGGATCAGCAATGCACTGTTCAACACCCCGGACGACCTTGCCCAGGTGTGGCTGTGTGGGGTGTTATGTGAGTACACTGGGATCAGCAATGCACTGTTCAACACCCCGGACGACCATGCCCAGGTGTGGCTGTGTGGGGTGTTATGTGAGTACACTGGGATCAGCAATGCACTGTTCAACACCCCGGACGACCATGCCCAGGTGTGGCTGTGTGGGGTGTTATGTGAGTACGCTGGGATCAGCAATGCACTGTTTAACACCCCAGACGACCATGCCCAGGTGTGGCTGTGTGGGGTGTTATGTGAGTACACTGGGATCAGCAATGCACTGTTCAACACCCCAGACGACCATGCCCAGGTGTGGCTGTGTGGGGTGTTATGTGAGTACACTGGGATCAGGAATGCACTGTTTAACACCCCGGACAACCATGCCCAGGTGTGGCTGTGTGGGGTGTTATGTGAGTACGCTGGGATCAGCAATGCACTGTTTAACACCCCGGACAACCATGCCCAGGTGTGGCTGTGTGGGGTGGTATGTGAGTACACTGGGATCAGCAATGCACTGTTCAACACCCCGGACGACCATGCCCAGGTGGCTGTGTGGGGTGTTATGTGAGTACGCTGGGATCAGCAATGCACTGTTTAACACCCCGGACGACCTTGCCCAGGTGTGGCTGTGTGGGGTGTTATGTGAGTACGCTGGGATCAGCAATGCACTGTTTAACACCCCGGACAACCATGCCCAGGTGTGGCTGTGTGGGGTGTTATGTGAGTACGCTGGGATCAGCAATGCACTGTTTAACACCCCAGACGACCATGCCCAGGTGTGGCTGTGTGGGGTGTTATGTGAGTACACTGGGATCAGCAATGCACTGTTCAACACCCCAGACGGCCATGCCCAGGTGTGGCTGTGTGGGGTGTTATGTGAGTACACTGGGATCAGCAATGCACTGTTTAACACCCCGGACAACCATGCCCAGGTGGCTGTGTGGGGTGTTATGTGAGTACACTGGGATCAGCAATGCACTGTTTAACACCCCGGACAACCATGCCCAGGTGTGGCTGTGTGGGGTGTTATGTGAGTACACTGGGATCAGCAATGCACTGTTCAACACCCCGGACGACCTTGCCCAGGTGTGGCTGTGTGGGGTGTTATGTGAGTACACTGGGATCAGCAATGCACTGTTCAACACCCCGGACGACCATGCCCAGGTGTGGCTGTGTGGGGTGTTATGTGAGTACACTGGGATCAGCAATGCACTGTTCAACACCCCGGACGACCATGCCCAGGTGTGGCTGTGTGGGGTGTTATGTGAGTACGCTGGGATCAGCAATGCACTGTTTAACACCCCAGACGACCATGCCCAGGTGTGGCTGTGTGGGGTGTTATGTGAGTACACTGGGATCAGCAATGCACTGTTCAACACCCCAGACGACCATGCCCAGGTGTGGCTGTGTGGGGTGTTATGTGAGTACACTGGGATCAGGAATGCACTGTTTAACACCCCGGACAACCATGCCCAGGTGTGGCTGTGTGGGGTGTTATGTGAGTACGCTGGGATCAGCAATGCACTGTTTAACACCCCGGACAACCATGCCCAGGTGTGGCTGTGTGGGGTGTTATGTGAGTACACTGGGATCAGCAATGCACTGTTCAACACCCCAGACGACCTTGCCCAGGTGTGGCTGTGTGGGGTGTTATGTGAGTACACTGGGATCAGCAATGCACTGTTCAACACCCCGGACGACCATGCCCAGGTGTGGCTGTGTGGGGTGTTATGTGAGTACACTGGGATCAGCAATGCACTGTTCAACACCCCGGACGACCATGCCCAGGTGGCTGTGTGGGGTGTTATGTGAGTACGCTGGGATCAGCAATGCACTGTTTAACACCCCGGACGACCTTGCCCAGGTGTGGCTGTGTGGGGTGTTATGTGAGTACGCTGGGATCAGCAATGCACTGTTTAACACCCCGGACAACCATGCCCAGGTGTGGCTGTGTGGGGTGTTATGTGAGTACGCTGGGATCAGCAATGCACTGTTTAACACCCCGGACGACCTTGCCCAGGTGTGGCTGTGTGGGGTGTTATGTGAGTACACTGGGATCGGCAATGCGCTGTTCAACACCCCGGACAACCATGCCCAGGTGGCTATGATGCGCTTTTATGGTAAAACATTACGTCATTGCCCAATGGGTCCATCGGCATCAGACTGTGAAAGTACAGTGAACCTGTAACTAAAGACCACCCTGTACCCTGTGGGTCCAGAGAAAGCGGTGGTCTTTAGTGGCAGGTTTGTCCGACAGGCGATCAAAAATCGGAGCAAGTGGCAGCCCGGCAGTCCTGTAGTTACCCGGCAGTATAGACTAGTCTGTAGTCGATCCAACCCTGGGTACCCGGCAGTATAGACTGGTGTGTAGTCGATCCAACCCTGGGTACCCGGCAGTATAGACTAGTGCGTAGTCACCCCAACCCTGGGTACCCGGTAGTATAGACTAGTGTGTAGTCACCCCAACCCTGGGTACCCGGCAGTATAGACTAGTGTGTAGTCACCCCAACCCTGGGTACCCGGCAGTATAGACTAGTGTATAGTCACCCCAACCCTGGGTACCCGGCAGTATAGACTAGTGTGTAGTCACCCCAACCCTGGGTACCCGGCAGTATAGACCAGTGTGTAGTCACCCCAACCCTGGGTACCCGGCAGTATAGACTAGTGTGTAGTAGATCCAACCCTGGGTACCCGGCAGTATAGACTAGTGTGTAGTCACCCCAACCCTGGGTACCCGGCAGTATAGACCAGTGTGTAGTCACCCCAACCCTGGGTACCCGGCAGCATAGACTAGTGTGTAGTCACCCCAACCCTGGGTACCCGGCAGTATAGACTAGTGTGTAGTCGATCCAACCCTGGGTACCCGGCAGTATAGACTAGTGTGTAGTCACCCCAACCCTGGGTACCCGGCAGTATAGACTAGTGTGTAGTCGATCCAACCCTGGGTACCCGGCAGTATAGACTAGTGTGTAGTCACCCCAACCCTGGGTACCCGGCAGTATAGACTAGTGTGTAGTCACCCCAACCCTGGGTACCCGGCAGTATAGACTAGTCTGTAGTCGATCCAACCCTGGGTACCCGGCAGTATAGACTAGTCTGTAGTCGATCCAACCCTGGGTACCCGGCAGTATAGACTAGTGTGTAGTCACCCCAACCCTGGGTACCCGGCAGTATAGACTAGTGTGTAGTCACCCCAACCCTGGGTACCCGGCAGTATAGACTAGTGTGTAGTCGATCCAACCCTGGGTACCCGGCAGTATAGACCAGTGTGTAGTAGATCCAACCCTGGGTACCCGGCAGTATAGACTAGTGTGTAGTAGATCCAACCCTGGGTACCCGGCAGTATAGACTAGTGTGTAGTCACCCCAACCCTGGGTACCCGGCAGTATAGACTAGTGTGTAGTCGATCCAACCCTGGGTACCCGGCAGTATAGACCAGTGTGTAGTAGATCCAACCCTGGGTACCCGGCAGCATAGACTAGTGTGTAGTAGATCCAACCCTGGGTACCCGGCAGTATAGACTAGTGTGTAGTCACCCCAACCCTGGGTACCCGGCAGTATAGACTAGTGTGTAGTCGATCCAACCCTGGGTACCCGGCAGTATAGACCAGTGTGTAGTCACCCCAACCCTGGGTACCCGGCAGTATAGACTAGTGTGTAGTCACCCCAACCCTGGGTACCCGGCAGTATAGACTGGTGTGTAGTAGATCCAACCCTGGCTACCCGGCAGTATAGACTGGTGTGTAGTAGATCCAACCCTGGGTACCCGGCAGTATAGACTAGTGTGTAGTAGATCCAACCCTGGGTACCCGGCAGCATAGATTAGTGTGTAGTCGATCCAACCCTGGGTACCCGGCAGTATAGACTAGTCTGTAGTCGATCCAACCCTGGGTACCCGGCAGTATAGATTAATGTGTAGTCGATCCAACCCTGACCAAGACCTCAGCCAGCCACATGTGTGTTCACTACTTCAAGGTTGATTGCAAGTGTGTAAGTTACACACTAGACCATGACTACACGGAGACAGGGGATACACATATACAGTCATATACCACACAAGCACGGAAGGGTTTGGATGGTCGGGGTAGGGGCAGAGAGGGCAATGCTGACTTTTGTATCAGTTTAGAGAGTATGCAAGCCACTGCAACTCCTGCTCGCTTGTTTTTTTCTCCTTGTTTTGCGATGTCTGATGCTCTAGGCGCTCCAGCCGCAACATTGGCCGATGGCATGTTTCTATTATTGTGCGGTCTACCAACGCTGCTTGGTGCCATCCAGCTGCTTCTGTGGAAGTTTTACACGCTCCGCTCCACTCATACAGCTTCCCTCCTCTTGCCCACAGATGTCAGATGATATGATGACATACACCGTTGCAATGGTGATGTCACCACAGTAAACAGCAATATCACTACTGCTCACGGCGATATCACCACGTCACACGGTGATGTCACCAATATACACGATGATGTCACCACTTCACACGTGATGTCGTCATTGCACGTGGTGATGTCCTCGTTGCATCATCTTAATGTCCTCCAGTAGCGTTGTTGAGAGTCACATGCATATCCAGTGATATTACTACGAATTGTAGAATGCGCTTGCAATCGCTCTGCGGTGCTATGGTGACTGAACTCTATGTTGTAGTCATAGCAACATCTATGGTGACATCATACTGGCCTTCGGTTGATGTCATTCAACCATAGTGCAGTGATCCCGCCTTTCAGCCGAGTACTGATATTGCCACTCGGATCATGCTGGCGTGTGCTTGGCGTGCCTGTAGCCAATCCACTCCACGACTGCTGTTTATCCACGACTGTCAATCCACGACTGTCAATCCACTACTGTCTATCCACTACTGTCCACCCACTGCAGTCAATCCACACCAGTCAATCCACTGCTATCTATCCACTGCTGTTTATTCACTACTATCTATCCACTGCTGTCTATCCACTGCTATCTATCCACTGCTGTCTGTGCAGTACAGTCAATCCACTGCTGTCTGTCCAGTGCTGTCTGTGCAGTACAGTCAATCCACTGCTGTGTACTGTGTAAATACATGCCTGTACCAACACAAGCTCACTGCTACAAGTAATAATTTTCATGCTACACTGCACTTCATATACGTTTTGTGCAAGCCACTTTCACTGCTGGCCAGTTATTTTGTTAGTAGCATCTATGCGTGCAAGCCGTGCCTTGCAGCACAGTGCATACCAGCATCCACTCGTTTACTCCGCAGCTCCTGACTGGTATGTACTTTTATCTTTTTCACGCCTGTCCGCATGGTTTGCCCCTTTTTTCCATGATTCAGCAACACCATCACTCTATGGACACAACACCGTATCCATAACGACTACGTATCCATAACAACTACGTATCCATGACAACAACGTATCCTGTACCCATGGCGTGGTGGCCATTCTATGACCCTGTCCTAGCAGCGGGTGTCGATGCAGCATTTGCTGTGCATATGTTATGGTGTCACTGTGTGTGGTGGGTTCCGGTGGTCCTTGCTGTTTCACCTGCATGCAGGAATGCGTGTGTTTTTGGTGCTCCTTACTGCCTGAGCTGCATGCAGTAATGCATGTGTTATGTTGTGTGGTAGGGAGTAGCAATGTCTGGTGTCCGATGTGCTTCGTTGATCTTTGCTGTTTGGCTTGCATGCATGAATACCGGTACATATGTTACTGAGGTCCTTGCTCTTGCAGTGTTTGACCTGCATGCAGTAATTGCCATGTGTTATGGTGTGTTTTTTTGTTTGTTTGTGTTTATTTGAATTCACAACTTTAAACGGGCAAGAACCCAATAACATTAGAGCGAATGTGATGGGGGCTACAGCCATAGGGGCAATCAGGATGACAAATTAATGTTTAATATAACGAGGAGGAGAATGAGAATAGGAATTTATAATGTTTCAGCGTAGAGGCATCGTGTGTGTGTGTGTGTGTTTGGTGGTCCTTGCTGTTTGACTGGCATGGAGGACAGTTTTACGTGGCATTGGCCACAGTGGCTCATTGTGATACGGTGGCACTCACAACATAACATACACAGTGGATCATTGTGATACGGTGGCACTCACAGCATACATGTACTCTGTGAAGACAAACTCTTCCTTAGAATGTAGATCTACAGTTGGCCAAACTGAAATCCGAGCGGAAATCCGAGGCGAAGTGCGAAACTTTTAAAGGCCTGTACTAGTTCCGATGACACCATGGGATAAAGGAGAGGAGCGAAATTTGAGGAATTGCCGGCCAGAAGCTTCATTCCGCACTGCCAATTATTATTTCAATGCTCTGGAAGCCGAATCTGCCGATTTCTCCCGCATCATACGCCATACAAAGCCTATCCATCAGCCGATGGCACATGGTCGGAATGCGACTGGCACAGTTCCAGGCTCTGTTTATGCTCTAAAATTCCTCACCTGCACTTGAAGCCACTGGTCGTGTTCTCGAAATCGGCTAGTCAACAGACCATGCCTTCTCTGCATGCAGCGCTGGTTGGCGGGCACCAGAAACTTCTGAAACTGATGAGTTGCTGACATCACGATCGAGATTCTCAGGTCACCTTGAAATGGCAAGCCATTTGGCATGGTCCACTCTACATCACAATACCTTTTTTCTGCTGCGGGATATTTACATCGCATGGCTCTTCACATTCGGTATCATCATTATTTTAATATTACTATTGTGGGGGTTCACAAAGATGCTACTACAAGGCAAGGCTGGTGATGGCGCCTGGGAAGGGAACGACGTAGGGGAAGTAAAATTAATCATGGCGATGGAGCCTACCTCGACCTACCACGTCCCTTGCGTAGTCGCTTGCCAGCAGTGGCATAGATGGTGGATCCAGCGGTGGGGGTGGCTCGGGTGGGTTCTTTCTCGGCCTACGACGACTCCGGCACTCTACAGTTTGTAGCACATGCGCCGCCACCGGGCGTGGTGTTGAGTGCAGGATCCAATCAGTACATACCATTGCACTAACAATCCTATAGTGTACTACTGTACTGTACTGTACTTTGTAGAGTGGAGAAAGGACCGCAGCAGCAGGTACTGACTACTGTAGAGTGGAGAAAGGACCGCAGTGCAGCAGGTACTGACTACTGTAGAGTGGAGAAAGGACCGCAGTGCAGCAGGTACTGACTACTGTAGCGAGGCGGTAGTTGTTGTTGTTGTGTTTATTTTAATTCGCAAACCAAACTGGCAGATCTGCCCAATGAAAAGGTGGCGAATGCAGATAGAAAGCAGTAATAAAATAAGTTCAAACCGAATAGCGAGGGACACCGGGCCGCGAGACACTCAAAATGCAAACAAAAAAGTAGGCAACAAACGTCTTCTTCCACGTTTTACGCTCTTTGGAGTCTGGAAGCCTTTTCCATTCCCCAAGTGGAAGTTACCGTACATCATGTACTAGAGTATGTTTTTCGATTTCTGTGTATATACCTCGTACTACAGTAGTACAGTAGTAGTTTAAAAGTTCCCGTTCATTCAGTGTTCCTACATACAGTGATGATCGGAAAATGAAAGAGACAAGGATAAATAATTTATAGAAAAGAAAAGGACCAAGGAACTACAAGTTACGCTAAAATGTCCACCAACACCGCCACCAGTTACTAAACAATCAACTCATGCGACACCATGCATTGCACGACACTGACCGACGGTACTGATGTTCTACAACTAACTGGCTGTTGAAGTTCCTTGGTCCTTTTCTTCTCTATAAAAACTACTCTCACACTCTTTTTTTCCTTCTAGAAATCCCAGGCAGGCACAGTGGGTTGGTCAAAGACCATGATTGAGATACGAGAGGTACCTGGTTCAAGTCCTGCCTGGGAGCGGTTTTTCCAGCCGTGCTGCTACCCACAGTCAACTGGGAACTTGTGGCCAGGCACAAGGGGTACATGGATGCAGCTAATGGGGTCGCTTTCGGCACTTGTGCCAGTGGTTGTGAGACTTACCCACTCACCCCCACCGTTAGGCGCTGCATCTGCCGCTAGGGTTTATCGGGTGTTAGCGGCCGTCGTGAGTTCCCTTCGGGAACGGATACGATAATTTACTTTTTTTTTAATCCCTCCTCTCTCTACTAGTATCTCGGGCCGCGGGATCCTATGCTCGTTTTCACACGTACACTGAAATTATGTGGGATATAGAATGCCCCCCCCCCCCCCCCCCGAGCCAATCCTTGTTTTATTAATATTATAATGAAATGCCCCAAAAGGCAATGTGCCTATCGAGGGGTTCATTTGATTGAAAGAACAGTATTACTAGTATTAGACGGCTAGTGTCATAGAATCGTTACTGCTTAATTCGTCCTCCTGGTTTTTTTTAAGGATTCCTTGGAGTTGTTGTCGCTTTTGTGAGTATCGGTCATGACCGAGGATTTGTGGCTAATAAAGACCTAGATACTGGTATTGAAACTCGGATGTTGAGCCATAAATAAATGTAGAAAGGAAAAGGACATAAGGATACGAGTTAAGAGTAACTCTCCATCACTGTAACTGGATACTATACTCAGTACTCTTGTCAGTTGTGTGCCTAGTTTAGTAGTTATTGCACTTTCTGACTGTATATAGTATCCAGTTACAGTGCTGGAGAGTTACTCTTAACTCGTATCCTTATGTCCTTTTCCTTTATACTGGCATTGCCATTTGGTAAGCGACTTCGGCGAAGATTGTATAGAAAGGTGTTGGCTCCCCAAACTGGAGCTTGCGATTTTCCACCGACTTCACTTGACACTTGACTGACTCGCGACTGCCATCCAGAGCACACGAGAAGTCCATGGAACCTTCGACCCGGCAAACCTGCAAGAAAGGCGCCACTCCCTGCTCATTACACAATGTTTCGGGGAGTTCACCCCTCATCAGTTGAATTCGAGTAGGCTGAAGAAGGTTGTGTCTGAAGAGCACAACTGACATGACATTGTATATAGTGCTCTTCAGGCCAAACGATCACCAGGGATACAGACTTACAGAGACGCTCCGTTTCCAGCGCGACAAACACCTCGTGAACACCAGATAGCAGAGTGAGCTAGAGTAGCTCCTGGGCGGTGAGAGAAGGTTGAGTCGTAACACCTTGTGGATCTGTGTCTAGCTAGATTGATAACAGCGCTGCGAATGACCGAGGGTCCTCAACGTACATGAACCAAAGCAAAAAGACAACCCAAATTCGGATGTTTTATATGGCATATTGTCCGCACTGAATTGCTGACCCGCGCGGTCGATCACAAGCAGAATGCATCACGGGCCATCACGGGCCATATACAACCCGAAGCCAAACATGTATCATGGCGCTAGATTGATGACAGCGCTGCGAATGACCGAGGGTCCTCAACGTACATGTTTATTCAAAAAGCCATTGAACTATAAAGTAGGAACCCAAATTCGGATGTTTTATATGGCATATTGCCCGCACTGAATTGCTGACCCGCGGTCGATCACAAGCAGAATGCATCACGGGCCATCACGGGCCATACACAACCCGAAGCCAAACATGTGGGATGGCGCGTGGTCGAGAGCGTTCAGGGAGTCCTGGCACGACCATAATTATTGATCTCTACGGACTATCGAGCACGACCAAAATGCTTCATATCCTAAATAGATTGCCATGCTTGTTTAGGATGCAATTTCCTATACTGAGTAACTGCACCTCCTTGCAACGCGTTTTTCATCAACAGGCATTGCTCCCCCCCCCCCCCCCACACACACCCGCCGCCGCCACCTCCGCAGTCACTACCGTTCCGATCTCCCTTAGCTCGCACTGGGCAAACAGGCAACTGGCGCACGGTTTGCCCAGTGCGAGCTAAGGGAGATCGGAACGGTAGTGACTGCGGAGGTGACGGCGGCGGCGGGGGGGGGGGGGAGGGTAGCAATGGTAGCAGCACGGCAGCAGCGATCCAAGCAACAGCACTGCCAGCAGCAACAGCAGCAGCAGACAAAGCAGCAGTAGCAGCAACAGCAACAACAGTAGCAGCAGCAGTAATGGCAGCAGCAGCAACATCAACAACAGCAGCAGCAGCAATGGCAGCAGCAGCAGCAGCAACAACATCAACATCAACAACAACATACTGTGAGAATAAAGACTTGAAACATCAGCAGCAGACCCTGTAATCTGATGATCATTGTTCTTGAGTTACATTAGAGGCATTGAGTTTTTGGACCATTCTGTGACCATTCTGTGACCATTCTGTGACCATTCTGTGACCATTCTGTGACCATTCTGTGACCATTCTGTGACCATTCTGTGACCATTCTGTGACCATTCTGTGACCATTCTGTGCGAAACTGGAACTTGATGAACGTCTATGTACACCACAAAGATATGGAGCTTTGGGCTGTGTCAAATCCAGCGAAACACACACACATACACACACGCACAAACACACACACACACACATACACACACACACACACTTGTACTTGTACTTGCACACTGCCATGACTGGTCACGCGAGTCACACACACACACACACACACACACACACACACACACACATACACACACACACACAAACACACGCACATACGCACACACCCATAGACACACACGCAAACAGTGGCGTAACATTAGTGGTGATAAGCTCCAGTACAAGAATCGGTAATAACTATAAGGATGGAGTTCATGGCTGTACATGCACTTCGAAGCGCATATTGATTGATACCTGGGACTGCTTGTCTCAAAATCTCCAATCTAGATCGGAGTGAGGAAGATCAACACCATGCATACGTGGATCGGTCGTAGACTCGTAGTCGAAAGTCCTCTCCAGAATTTTTTCAAAGTATCACTTCAGTCCTTGCTGGATCTCCGAACTGCAAGGACTATGTAGTGGCACTGTTGAAACTATTGATAGTTACACATAGACTATCCAGGCATTCACCCGTTGGGCGTTGCACCTTTTTTCGACACACCCAAAGTCATGTGCAATTCGGCATTGATTTCCACTGCTTGTTCTTTCACTGTATCTTTTGTACAGTATCTCTCTGTTTCCGAACTCATTTTGCACATTTTCTCTTTTTCCCAACTCCAATGTTCATTGTATATACACAAATAGAAGATCCCCCCCCCCCCCCCCGATAGGCGTCAGCCTTTGGGTAATCCTGAAATAAAGATTATTATTATCATTAAAGATTGGTCCTGGGAACGTAGCAGACCGAATGGGAATCAGGCAATTCTAATTTTTTCTTCAATGTTGCTGATACCTGTGTAACATCCCTGCCTTACATCCCTATCAAACATTGTATGTGTAATCGATTGCATTCTATTTCCCAACAGACCCTAATGGAGTAATGCCCAAGGTGCGTGTACCAGTGTTGTATGTGTTGAGTTGCTGGTGGGGACCGGCGGATTCTGCTTGAAAAGGTGGCGGATTCTGCTCGAAAGGCAGTGAAATTGGCAGAACCATACAAACCTTATGGCAGGCAATTCCTCGAAGTTCTGCTCCATTTCTTTATCCACATACGGCAAACATGCATGAAACTTACCAGAAAAGTTACCGAATTCTGCCAATTTTTCTGCCGGCAGAATCCGCCGGACCCTACCACCGGATCGCTTAGTGCGTGAAACTCGGAGTAAACACACTTTCTCTGTCCTCCTATTGTTTGATTTTCAATAAAGTTCTATTTGACTATACTATACTATAGGCACGTCTACTTGAAGTCTTGGGATGGAAGCCACGTATATATCGTATATGGGCGTAGAGTAGGACCTATTCCAGGTGCCAGAGATCGGTTAGAAAAGGTTTGCCAGATGCATTGTAGTGAGACATCGTCAGCAAACGGAAGACGGAAGAGGAAAGCAGCCTTTATATTCCTGTAGTGTACGATCGGTGTAGCTACAGACAAGTAAGTTACGTCGACGGCCCAGCACAAAACCAGTAATGCCGTGTCATTCCGGCCCCCACTGCCACTGGCCCCAAGCTCCAGCAAGAACGAACGAATGTCTTGATAGAATAACCTGAGTAACAGTCTGCGGTCCAGTGGCACAGGAGTGGACAGCGCGCATTGTTCGGATATCGCGATGTACTGTACTGTGACGTGTAGTCTGGTACGGGATCTACGCAGCCAAAGCCCATAACGGTGATTGCTGAGTCGCTGATCCGTGAACGCTTCCAACGTGTGAACCCGGTGTACTGTATGTTTGTGTGTCATGGGCCATCGTATCAAGGACACTCATTTGACACACCGGTTCGTGGAAATTCCGGAAAAGGCGAAAAAATTACAATGATCCAGCTGGTCATCCATTGCATAAGGCACTGTGAGGAGCACTGGGTATGTCCATAATAAATACGTACGCAAAGACTGCGACCACTGTTTTGGCAGTTTGAGCTGTAAGGCGGAAGGAAGGAGAAAAGAGATCCTCTCGTTTTGGAAGCGGAATGGCGTCGCCAATTTGTTCATCAGTCACCATTGGCGGATCCGACTCTTGCACTGAGGACAGCAACAGTGATGTCTCTCCGGACATTGATGTCGACATCGACCAGCATAGCTGTTCTTCTTCGAGCAAATCCTTCAGCTCGAAGAAGAAGACAAGAGGTCGGGTGAAGATCGGAATAAAACTCATCGATCAGAAGCAGAAGCGCAGCGCCACGTTTCACAAGCGAAAGAGTGGATTGATGAAGAAGGTAAGAATCCAGCGTATAGATTGTCTTCCTTCTTCTTGACAACCCTGCCCATTTTCCTTTTCCCGTATTGTGTTGCGATAGTTGAACGTACGCACTCTCCGTCATCCTTTAGTAAATCAATGTATTGTGTATTCTATTTAGCTGCACCATGTGTCAAATCACAGCCACTCCCTAGCCTATCACCAGTCTTTAGTAGACTGGTTCTTGGTTACATTGTTCCTTCGCTCGTTCTTTGCTTTGTCCGCGCGCGCCCTCCTCTCTTTTCCTTTCAGTACCCGTCTCGTGCCTCTGCCAAACTCCGAAAGATGTCTGCCAATCAATGGATTCAGTTCAGTTGTTATAATTATTAGTTTCGTTCTCGCAATTTGCCTGGAGGCGACTCCCCTAGATTTGTATGGCGGCGTATGGCGCCTTGGACTATGTCCTGAGCTTAAAGCCTTTGGAGTCCGATGCGTTTTGCGCATAACCAGAATTCCGAACGTATCTTCTCTCTGATCCCGCCGGTAGGGTAGAGGGTGCCCTTATGTTACCGAATTATTTCTATGTCCTTTACTGGAAATAAAGAAAAAGGTGAAAGCAATCATCGACGACCCCGGAGGAAAGCAGATCTGTCGAAGGCGTGGCGCATATCCGTAGTGGCAGCTGCGCTTAGACTCCACTCTCCGCCAGTTGTTCGTACCAGGTCCCAAGATTCGTCCACCGACTCCAGTTCCAGGATGCATCATTATTTTCTCGTTCGACGATAGTTTTCTTACTTTGCAGATAGCTTGACCATTGGTTGGTGACAAGTTGGTGGTGTAGACCTCTGGCTGAGCGCCTGGTCAGACTACGGCAAATTTCCCGTGACTGACGCCAAAAGGAAATCTTTTAGTAAATCGTGACTACGCTACAAATCAATTTGAGGAGTGGGAATTCAAAATATCCCTTGCTTTAGCATAGGTATTCTAATCCTAATTTGCACAACACTGCAGTCGTGTCCAACGAAGAGAAGACTAACTTATAGCTACACAGTGATTATGCTTGTGAGGCGACTTTAAAATCAACAAGACGCCACCACCACCACCACCAACAGCAACAACCACAACAACAACACCTTGGGAATACAGATTTGAAGCAGCAAGTATGCATCTGCTAGGATTGCCTGCCTTCACATCTGCACACATCAACCTGTCCTGCACGAAAGCATGTTAGTTGTGTCTATGTGACCATATTTGCTGAAATGTAGCCAGTTGAGTGACATTACACTAGCCTGAATCTGAACATCACTAGCTACACCTGTCATTGCAGCAGTATTTACACCTCTCATTGCAGCAGTATTTACACCTGTCATTGCAGCAGCAGCAGTATTTACAGCTGTTGCTTCTCTTTCTCATTAGCTCTGGCAGCATCGTCTTGTCGGATGAGAATGCCATCGATTTCATCGTCTCTGCTTGTGTGTGTGCGTGTGTGTGTGTGTGTGTGTGTGTGTGTGTGTGTGTGCTTGTCGCTTCTTACAGGGCTTTGAGTTGAGTGTACTAACCGGAGCTGAGGTGTTAGTGCTGGCAGCATGGGGCGACTCCGTCTTCTCCTACAGTACAAAGAAACTGCAGCGTGTTCTGACGTCACAGACCGGTCAGGAGCTGATACATCACTGTTTGAAGACACCCGTCGACGACGTGGCCGAGGAGGAGGTGGCCCTGCGCTGGAATCCAGAGGGTTACATCGTCAGAGAGTTGACCATACCGAAGGGCGAAAAACGAAAGCGACAGGTAAAGGTCACCCGTGTTTTCCGCTGCTTGAACATTGTGCAATTTATAGGATTGGTAGCAGCATAATTAATGAGATCAGAATAATAAAAGATGGAAGGAGTTACGGACTTGAACTATACTGTATGCCATGTATTGAAAACAATGCAGATATTACAAAAGAACATCAAACCTCTTCTCCATACGTTTCTTAGACAAATACTTGCTGTGCATTTCCTTATTTGCTGTGCAGGCAAACGATTCTGATTCCTCAGAGCCTAGTTCAAAGCGTGAAGTTGGTGGTCCATCTAAGTCTTTCGGGGCACCATCAATTATGCATCATCAGAACTCCAGTCACCTGGAAGGAAAAGTAAGCAAACATTGATTAGCTAAGCACTGCCTGCGAAGTGTGTGTGGTTTTTTGTGTGTGTGTGTTTGTGGTCGTGTGTGCGTGCGCACGCACCTGTGTATGTGTGTGTGTGTGTGTGTGTGTGTGTGTGTGTGTGTGTGTGTGTGTGTGTGTGTGTGTGTGTGCAAGTGTGCAAGTGTGTGCATGTGTGTGTGCGTGCACGCACGCACGTGTGTGTGTGTGTTAGCAGCATATGAATGGTTTGTTAGAATGGTTTGATAAAACCTAGTTGAGTGTCCATTTACGTTCGTGTCTGTGGCTGTGTGTGTGTGTGTGTGTGTGCGTGTGTGTGTTTCTACCTATATTTCTCTGTTGTTTCCTGTAGTTGCACAGTCAGCTGATGCAGCCATCGTTCCCGAGTCTGGAAATGTCCCCGGTGGTGCTACACGGTCTCAATCCAAATGCCACTGTCATGAGTGTGGCCAACGGACAAACAACCTCATCTGCAAGCCTTCACCAGCAGCAACAGCAACAGCAGCAGCAACTACAGCAGCAGCACAGACAGCAACAGCTACTATTGCAACAGCAGCTCATGCAGCAACAAGAGCAACAGCAACAGCAGCAACAACAACAGCCACAACAGCAGCAGCAAGGGCACCAGCAGCTTCAGAAGTTGCATCAGCAGCTTCAGCAGACTCCCAAGCAACCCCTGAAGCAGGAGGAACAGAATTACCAACAAAATCAAGATGTGCTCTCCAAGTCTCCCAATGACAATCACCAGTCTACGCCCAGTTCTACTGCATCCACAAGCATCAGTGCACTTGACTCTCATCCTGCGCGGCCCACTATGATACCACTAGCTGGAGACACCATGAGCAGCTCGTATCTTGTGCCACAAGCCAGATCCAGTGCCTTGGGCCAGCAGTCGCAAACACAGCAGCAAGTGACGGCACAGCAGCAGCAGGCATTAGGCTCCATGCTGTCGCCGTCATTGTCGCAGCTATCGGCTTTTCCATCCTCACAGTACTTGACTGGTGACACCACACTGGCCACATCGCTTGCACAGCGTGACGATCCCAATAGCAACATGCCCGTCATTCTCCAACCGCAGAATCATACGTTTGTCTCCGGTCAACCGGTCGGCGCAGGCAATAACGCACAGTATGTCAAGTCCAATCTGCTCAACAGCCTTGCAATGTTCAGTGCCTACCAGCCACAGCCAGCTAATCGCTTCGTTTACGTCCAGCAACCACAGCAACTTCAGCAACAACAGCAGCAAAAAGCACAGCAGCAGCCATCACCAGTGAAGCAAACACAGCAACAGCAGCCACAGCTGAACCCAACTTCTGGGCTTTCACCTTTGACCAAACCCAATACCACTACAATTGAGCATGTCCAAGTTGCTTCGCCGCCAAACAAGGTACTGGATCAAGCGATATCTGCAGGCTCGACTACGATCCACAACGAGAATGGCTTCCCTCCTATGATCCCAGCCATTGGTGTGTGAGCACTGCTGCATGTGTTTGACTGGTTGTTGCAAAGGGCTGTGCTGAGAAGTGATGTGTCACTCAACCAATGCTGCGCCGCTCTAGCAATGCTACTCGCCTCTAGCAATGCTACTCGGGTCTAGTAATGCTACTCGCCTCTAGCAATGCTACTCGGCTCTAGCAATGCAGTTGGTGTACCCAGCTGCATGATGTTACTCCCTTTCGTCTCTTGACTTTCTTGCGTGTGTGCGTGAGTGTATGCACTCATGTCTGTAGGCATTTGCACTGCCATTGACAAATGCATGTATGTATTTATGTATGTATGTGTGGACACCGTATTACGTTGTGTATTCTCCCTCTCCTCACTTCACTGCTCCTGTCCTCACCTAGTCACAAGTCAACATCTTGCCCCCCCCCCTCTCCACCCCCCTTTTCACCCCCCCCCCCCTCTCCACCCCCTCTCCACCCCCCTTTTCACCCCCCCCCTCCACCTCTCTAGGAGCACACTTGCATGTACAGTGCATATTCGTGTTGTCCACACCATCTTACTCGGTTCATCTTTTGCCAGTAGCATCGTACTGACTTCCTGGCCTTTTAAGGATCCCTGCCTCTGCGTAAGGATCACTTGTGTGTCTCGTTTTCCCGACTGCTTGCCTGTTTGTTGTATTTCTTTGTTTGGTACGTGTGTTTGCGGACTATGTAAACAAGTGTGTAATACTTAGGTTTGTGATGTATCCGCATTCTAGCCCTAGTGAGCTAGGCGTACGTACTTTCATGTGTGTGTGTGTGTGTGTGTGTGTGTGTGTGTGTGTGTGTGTGTGTCACGATGTGTGTGTACATGTGTTTGTTCACAATCATGGTTATGTCTGACCGTAGACCTAACAGGTGCGTCTCGTGTGAACATCACACTGTACCTACTAAGTCTTGCAGTGCTTGTCTCCTCCTTTAACCTAGCATTAGCATTGCCCATAGCCGGCGTTTCGAGTGCTCTGGTAGTTTGAAAACCCTCTCTTCAACACCCTCCATATTCCTGTTATTCTGACCTCCACGTGTATTCCTTTATCTTCTCATCTTTACTCTGAACATGTGAAACTTATCATTGCTAAGAACTCTGTACGCTAAGGTCAGGTATTCATTTTAGCAGCGCTGCTCCCTGCATATCCATAGTGCCTATACAGTCATGTAGATACCTGACAGCCATTGTTGGTGTTTCCCCTGTTTACATTTCTTTTCAGAACAATGGTGTATTTAGGAGTGTGTACCTGTTAATCCCGTGTCATGATTAAGTGTTCAATATGCTCACTCCCGCCATGTACCCGTGTTATTCTTCAAAACAAAGTGACAGCAAATCCAGCAAGACTCAGTGTTCCATGTCGTGGTGTGTGTGTGTGTGTGTATGTGTGTGTGTGTGTGTGTGTGTGTGTGTGTGTGTGTGTGTGTGTGTGTGTGTGTGTGTGTGTGTGCAGTACCTCCCTTCGGGGAGCGGCGTGGCCATTTCTGGCAGCTGTCAATAGTAGTAGTAGTAGTAGTAGCAGTGTGTGTGTGTGTGTGTGTGTGTGCGCGCATGTGCGTGTGTGTGTGTGTGTGTACGCACATGGGCTCTCCACTTGTGCGATATAGACAACTAACGGTATTGTTTATCCAGTGGGTTTGTCAAGGAATGCTACATCTACATCTACATGTACATGTACGCCATGTGCACTGCTTCGACAGTGTGAGTACAATCCTGTACAATCATGTACATACGTATATGTTATCGCATGGTTGCTGCGGGCCTTATGGCATATTATTGCCCCGAGAGGTTAGCCCGAGGGCCGTAGGCCCAAGGGCTAACCTCGAGGGGCAATAATATGCCATAAGGCCCGCAGCAACCATGCGATAACAAATTTATCACATGGCCCACAGAGCAGACCATTGGGCTGCTGTTGAAAATAGCCCAAATGCCAACACATTATGACCACAATGTATATTGATGTGCTATCATTATCAAAACAGGAAAAATGAAGATATTTCTCCTACACCCTAACAAAAAGTCTTCTACAGGTCATCAGAGAGTATACAGTACTGAAAGACGGAGACAGAAAAAAGTGCCGGCACCGCATCGTCATAGCAATAGACATGGCAACGACAATAAAATACAGCAGAATCATAATTTACATTGAAAAATTAAGAGTGCTACCACAAAGAGTTTCTTCATGTTTACATGTGTATCAGCAAGAGTACATAACCCGTTATGTACTCTTGGTATCAGGAAGTTGTCAAATATAGTACTGCAACAAGTGCAAGTATTTGACGACTCCCTGGTGTGTAATTCTGAGGACAATTTTTCTTCTTTTTTTTCAGCTCCAGATAGCTGTATTTTTCATTGCAAAACATTCCTGAATTGTTGTGTTTGTTGTTCAAGCAAAGGTGAGATGAGCCTGGTAAGAGATTTGCGTGGCACATGAAGACCACACACAGGCAGTGACTTTGCGAGGATTTGAAAACGCACGACGCTGAGTTGAATTTGTGTTATTTCAAATAATTGTTTGTGATCACAGTACCACTTCGAGCAGAACTGAATCTTATCCACAAGCTTACCGACGGTCAGGCTGCCAACATGACTGAACAAATGATCCCTGCAAGCACCACACGGCAGACGTCCGAGGCCATGTCCATTGCCGGCATGCCGGGATGTCCATCTCCAAAAAGAATTCCATCTTCGTCTCAATGCTATAGCTACACTGCGACTCGTCATAGAGTCGTACAGTCTACAGAGTCGTCGTACGAGCGTAGTCACGCGATCACTGAAATAAACTATTTTTTTGCGGGCAAATAAACTATTTTTTTGCGGGCAATATCGCATATTATTGCCCGCGGCGCGAAAGGTGCTGATTCGCTGGAGTACGGGCAACAATCACGTGCCATGTGATAATGTGCGTTTTACACCATCCAGGTCATCCCATGCGAATGCTTTTCTGACCAGAAGCGACTTGACCGTACCCAGTACTCCTCAGTGTTCTGAGGTTGCATGTTCATGTGACTCCTGCCTCCTGCAGTCCTGGAGCACTCACATGCAATCAGAGTTATGGAAAGGCATTTTGGTCTCTGTTGTTCTGCCTTTGGGGCCACGCGCTGATCGTGATACATTGTACGTCTTGCTCACTAGTGCACTGTCCGCAAAAGATGCTTGTCACACACAATCAAGATTATTATTTTTACACAATTATTATTCAGATGGAGAGCCAAGGTTTAATTATTATATACCAAAGAGAAAGACCATGTTATCGTATGAGCTGATCGTTTAGTGACTGGTGGTGTTAGTGGACAGTATAGCGTAACTTTTAGTTCCTTGGTCTTTCTCTTTTGTACAATTATTATTTTTACTTTATTTTATTACTCCGCAGCAGTACTGGACAGGGCATGCAGTAAAATGTTACATTTTCCGAGACACTCTTTTTGAAGTAGTGTGCCTAACCCAACATTGAACATTGAACCTTGCAGCAGGCATGGCAGGCATGGCAGGCATGGAAGGCATGTAACATTGTTGAGCACTGGCATGTCCTAGTAGCGCTATAGCATGGGTGATTTGCCCTGACGGTTGTTTGTTGTTGGTTGGTATGTGGCATTGCTATTTCCATATACAGAATATGCGCAAGTGTTAGTTGCAATATGCGGGTATGCGCTGTGAGTTTGACATCCCCCCTCCATGTTTGGCAGTCTGTGCGTGCTCCGCAAAGGAACTGGTGGTATTTGAGCTGATGGTCGCAGCCTGCTCTCGCGATCGCGGCGCACCGCGCGTGTCCTTACCGATGTTCGCGCGGCCGGATACGAATCTCTGTAGCTGTCAGCTAGCTAGCCACTCTACTTGTTTGATCAGCCCCCCCCCCCTATTGCGCTCGACTCCCAGGCATGGCAGGCAAGTCCTAGTAGCATGGGTGCTTTGCACTGACGGTTGGTTGTTCTTACTAGTAGTTGGGCGTTCCATTGCTATTATGCAGATGCGCAAGTGTTAGTTGCAATATGCGGGTATGCGCTTTGAGTTTGACATCCCCCCTCCATGTTTGGCAGTCTGTGCGTGCGCCGCAAAGGAACTGGAATCGAGCTGATGGTCGGCAGCCTGCTCGCGCGATCGCGGCGCACGGCGCGCGTCGTTACCGATGTTCGCGCGGCCTAATACAAATCTCTGTAGCTGCCAGCTAGCTACAGCTAGCCACTCGTATACTGTCTTGTTTCATCAGCCCCCCCCCCCCCCCCCCCTCCATTGCGCTCGACTCCCAGGCATGGCAGGCATGTCCTAGTAGGTGCTTTGCGCTGACGGTTGGTTGTTGTTGGTTTTGGTATGGTGCATTGCTATTATGCAGATGCGCAAGTGTTAGTTGCAATATGCGCGTATGCGCTTTGAGTTTGGCAGCCCCGGCCCCCTCCATGTTTGGCACTGTGCGTGGTCCGCAAAGGAACTGGTGCTGCTCGCGCGATCGCGGCGCACGGCGCGTGTCGTTATCGATGTTCGCGCGGCCGGATTCGAATCTCTGTACATTGCATTGTACTGATGTAGCTGCAAGCTAGCTAGCCACTCTACTTGTTTCATCAGCTCGACTCCCAGCTGGCCAGGCGCTAGGCCCCGGATCCCTGAGCAGTATGCGTGTGAGCTGGTATCCTTATTAGATTGACATGTCTATATACATACGATTTTGCAAAAGAAGCACGTCTATACGAAGCAGACGGTACACCGGTGGCCAGCTGCGCACCGCGCACGGCGCATGGCGAGCGACGCACAATCGCCGACCACGCACGGCGGCGAGCGACGCACGGCGCACCGTACTAGCACAGCATTTTTATTCTTTATTTCCACGATGGCCCATGGCCAATAAGGAAGAATAATAATATGATTCAAATCAGTCCAGAATCATATAAAATCAGTCTAGCAAGTAAGGAAACCAACACATTGCAGGGGGGGGGGGGGGGGGGTTACGATGGGGTACAGTGTGAGCTACTATAGGAGCATATGGATGATAGAATGAGGCTAGACGCGATTGATTTAAACGCATGCTTGCTATTTTGTTTCACGCAGGTCGGGGGGTAGTTGGTTGAAATTGTGAAGGGACAGGTTGATGGGTGAGTTGGTGTGTCGGTATGTGTGTGATGTTCTCAATGTGTATGTTCTTATGTGTCGTAGTGCATATGGCTGCTCTGTGATTGATCGTGCAAGGTGAGGCTGTTGCAGGTGAAGGGGAGCGCGGATGTACATGGAGTTGATGTTGTGGGCAAGAGTAAGCTGCCGTAAGAGTTGCCGGGAGACTAATGTGGGAAGTTGGAGATTATTAAGAAGTGAGCTGTGATGGACTGGTGCAAAAAGGGGGATCCGCAAGCAGATACGGGCTGCTCTTCGCTGAACGCGTTCTAATTGGTCCTTCTGTGTGCGGGTGGTGTTGGATAACACGAGACTGCC